CTGAGGTTGACCGTAAAACATGTAAGACCAGGTGACGCGCGAGATCTGAAGTCTCGTGTTAAGCTGTGGGCGTTTTCTGGTGCGCGTCACTCGCCGGTTCGCGAACAATGAGATTGCTGTATAGACACATTTTTATGCCTTGCTTAGTAAATGACCTATGTTGACCTCACATCAAGGTAGTAGTTTATACCGTGTTGACTTTAGGAATATTCTCTTTTCATTATGCACATAATAATTTTCATCTTTTAATTATTAGAAAAATCAAGAACAAACGTATGGGTGTTTTTTTTTTTTTTTTAATATTTATTGCCTAGATGGGTGGACGAGGTCACAGCCTACCTGGTGTTAAGTGGTTACTGGAGCCCATAGACATTTACAACGTAAAGGCGCCACCCACCCACCTTGAGATATAAGTTCTAAGGTTTCAAGTATAGTTACAACGGCTGCCCCACCCTTCAAACAGAAACGCATTACTGCGTCACGGCAGGAATAGGCAGGGTGGTGGTACCTACCAGCCCGGATCACAAGAGGTCCTACCACCAGTAAGATCGCTTCCTCAACTTCGTTTGTGGTAATGGGGGGTAACGCGGAAGAAATGTGTTCGGTCATTATGTGGATTCGACGGTGTCCTCGGGGGATAGATTCGAATCCGGGCCGTCGGGGAGGATTGGAGGAGCAGCTTCAGCTAAGTTGGTGCTTAGCTTCTTCCAATCTAGCATGGTCCTAGTGACTATGTCTGGGTTGTGAGCGAGCATAACGACAGGTCGGTGGTCTGAGTCGAGTTCTGACAATACCTCGATGGAGAGCAAGCGCAGAGTTACGTACCTAAGCAGTACCAGGTCTATAGTGCTCGGACGGAGCGCAGTGTTATACGGACAATATGTTGGGGTTGGAGGGCCGACTATTTCGAATGTGAGGTCATCTATAAAAGCGTCGAAACGCCTACCATTTACGTTCGTGCGATGGCAGTTCCACCTAGTGTGGTGGTAATTTATATCGCCTGCCAGGATGACAGCGTCTCCCATACTGAGCTCCGTCTCCCATAATGTGTCTCGATGTCACTGCTCAGGAGGGGCTTGTCGGGGGGAGCACTGGGTTCCAACATCTCCGGTTCGTATATACCCCGCGCGCAAAGTGGGTGGCGCCATTTACGCAGTGTTATCTATGGGTTTCGGAAGTTGTTTAAGACCAGACGGGCCGTTGAACTTATTCACTCATCTATGTTTAATCCGTCAATGCCTATTTACCCGTCAAGAATAAAAAATGTTGTGAACATTAAATTAGGAAAAATAGATTGTTTCCAAATTCGTACCTGTTTGAACAGTTCATCTGTAATTAACTTAAAAGACTTCTAGACCCTGATTGGCTACTCAAGTAAAAAGCGAAATGAATTCAAAGTTAAAAATGCAATTTCATAACTTTGTAGTAAATTTTATGGTCAATGTCAATTTTTTTTTTTATATAAAAAGTCGTATATCGTTTTGAGTAAATGGATGGTGACAATCATAGGGATGTTAAGTTATAGGTAACTAACCTAAAAGCAAGTTTATAATTAATTATAATCTTACTGTTAGTTTAGTTAGGAAAGAAATACGTATCCAACATCTGCAAATAGTCAAGTCCCACATACCCCGAGCGCCTCTTAGTCGCGGGGAACTCGTAAAAAAAGAAAAGAAAGAAGTACGTAAGCTAAATACGTTATCTTTTTTAAATAAGTTTCCTTTATTTATTATTTAACACAAACGAATTTACATACACCAAAAAGTGGCCTACAAGACCGAATTTTGGTTTGATTGCGGGATCAGCTAGTTTCAACATAAATAATAATGCAATTTAAAACCCAACATCAAAAATTTTAAATAAATAATTTAAAAACATTTGTGTACTAACTATGTAGTGTTTCTATATGTGCTCTGCGGTTTTACTCGCAATAAATTTGTTTTTCAACTACCATAGCTCAACAGTTGCCATGACACTTTGTCTATACGTGTGCAAGCTTTTATATAGGTAAGGGTAAATCTATTCTGGATGGGATTTATTTCAATTATGTTCACAGTGAGCGTCTACATAGAAAAAGCAAATACACTGCGTTCTGTGAGATCTTCTCAGCGCGTCATGATAATGGCTAGTGTTAGCAATGATTTCAAGTTTAGTTGAGCTGATCTAGCCGTCCGTGAGTAGTTGGAATACGCCCTTAGACTAAAACAAGGGATAGGTAGGAAAACATTTTAGAAAAAATAGGATGTATGTCAGTCAAACTCAAAGTGTATTGGACAGTTTCAGAAATCTGTTGATAATTGCTTGAGATGATATAATCTCGTTTATATCATCGCACCGCCGGCCACCGGAGCAGAGCTTATCCATATTACCTGAAGCCATGGCGTTCATCTACAGTGCGTTTCTGGTTTTGGGATGAGCTCCCCTCCACGGTGTTTTCCGAGCGCTATGACATGTTCTTCTTCAAACGAGGCTTGTGGAGAGTATTTAACGGTAGGCAGCGGCTTGGTTCTGCCGCTGGCATTGCTGACGTGCATGAGAGACGGTAACCACTCACCATCAGGTGGGCCGTATGCTCGTCTGCCTACAAGGGCAATAAAAAAAAAGATTGAGCAGTATTTCACTTATACATATAGGATAATAGCCCGTTACAAGTTTTTTCATCACAGTTGTGTTATACATATTTTAACCAATGATTCAAAGGTTTTAATCGCTCAATGTTATTTTAAATTATTATACAGAAGGCATTATGTACTAGACATTATGTATTATGTAGGAATTACCGCATAATTGCTTGGTTTGTGATAATCGTTACTAAAGGATTAAAGGGTTGGGTTGTCTTGTGTGATGCATGCTTAGTACCATACATTACATTGATCACTATTCTTGATCTTATTTACTAGAGTATTATTTATTAGGGTACCAGGTATTCAATTATATGTGTTTCTTAGCTATACTAATGATATAATATATGAATGAATAATATTGAATATGTATGTAAAAATTGTCTTATTTTGTCTTGATGTTTTTTTTATTGCATAGATAGGTGGACGAGCTCAAAGCCACCTGGTAGTATTAAGTTAAGTACCAGTTACCAGAGCCCATAGACATCTACAACGTAAATGCCGCCACCCACCTTGAGATTTGAGTTCTAAGGTCTCTAAGGTAATTACAACGGCTGCCCCACCCTTTAAACCGAAACGCATTACTGCTTCACGGCTATAATAGGCAGGGTGGTGGTACCTAGCCGTGCGGACTCACAAGAGGTCCTACCACAAGTAAAAATTTTGTAATCAGTTCCTCTCAATTCTTTTATTAATCAGTAAAAGGATTAGTGAAAAAAGTGAGGTTTGAATATGGTTGAGATTTAATGCATAATCCAGAAAAGTACAGAAATCATTTGGAGAGATGGCGCGAAATCTTCTTTCTTTAACGAACGTAATAAGTTGCCGAGGGCAGTGCAGAGTAAGTGATGGGAACAGCACCAGCAGCAGAGGCGTATGGAGATACCACGGAGGGTACTAAGCCGGGTGTATAAACGTAGTCCAGGCTCGTGTATGGGAGAAATTGCGGAGCTGGTTCTGGCGCTGCCTTAGGGTTTGGAGCGGCCAGAGACACGGCCAACAGAGCGAAGAAAACGACCTGAAAAAAGGAAAAAATGGATGGCTGTAAATTTGGTTCACGGACGATCGTTTTACGTGATAACGTTATAAAGAACCCCGCTGAGTTTCAGTGGGTCGCGTTTCCGATCCGGTGGTAGATTCTGCGAAGCACGGCTCTTGCTAGGGTTCGTGTTAGCAACGTCGTCAGGTTTGAGCACCGTGAGCTCACCTACTAATTGAGGTTACGCTGAAATAGCTTGTCAAGGCTAATCAGCTTGGGTAGAAAAAAAATATCATAAAGAAACATTGATGAAAAATTGCATACTTTTATGAAATGAATTAAATGATTATCACTGAATTATCATTATTTTGAATAATACGAAGAATTATCTAATTGAAAATTATTTTTTTTTCGATAAATTAACACTTTAACGCTTGTTCCACGCTCTCGCTCGCACGCTCAGGATCAGGCGGAACGTGACACTTTTTCGTGCATGCAGCCGGTGTTCATCGATTTATAAGAAAAAAATGAATTAGTTTGAAATTATTACAATCAGGGTTGTTGTTCTGTTCTTATTTAAACGCCTAATTAATGTTCGTCAGCTGCAAAGTTATTTGCGACAATATTTGTTATTGAATCATTAGTAGTAAGCTTATTTTTTAAGTACAGATGTTTTATTGCACAACGAAAAGTGGAAACTACTTTATTGTTATGGGTTACACAAATTTCTTGCATTCGATTTGTTTATAATACATATTTTCTAATTGACTTACGAATTTGTTAAACATGTTGTTTGTTTCGAGTAAGTACAAGTACTGAATCATACAGAGCTTCACTTACAACTGGCTTTTATATTAAAATTGTAACCTTGATCTTTATAAGACATGATCTATTTTGTTTTGGATGACAGAGTAATGAGCAAGGGCGTGTGAAAAGTTCAACGATCTCTTCCAATAGATTCACTATATCCTGCCTGGCCTTAAATGGAAGTGTGCATTGTAACTCACAATACACCGTTTAAATCACATAGTCACCCAAGCGATATATTTGGCAAAAGTAATGATGTCTTAACTGAAAAAAAAATGTGTGTCTAATGCTAGCATTACATTTGATCGTTTTTAAATGACTTCCCTTCCAAGTATGCACACAGCTATAGTCCTGATAATAAAGTCAATAGGTGCATTATTCTTGTCAAGTTTTGAGACGCTTTAGTTTTTTTAAAGATGAAACAAAGAGGTAATTATTTATGTGGCACACGTCTCCAGTACGTTTGTGTGTGATGTGTTCATAATTTACATAGATTCCCAACTGAGTTAAGTATATACATACAAATATAACACTGTATGTTTTTCGTTATTGTTTCTGAGGCTCCAAGGACTCCTACGGCCTATAAATGCCGATGGAAATATAAAATTAACAACAGATTTTTTTTAAGTCGTCACGCGCCGGTGTCCTAGATCATCAGTCAACTTTGAAAACTGCTCAAAATGTTCGCAAAGCTGGTAAGTACTTGAATAATCGAGAAAAAAATGCTTGTTTTTTACTTTGATTTCTATACGAATGTATCCTACAGCGAGAGCTAATTATATTGTTTCATGTCTGAGTATTCGATTAAGAAGTGATCGATAAGAGAATTTAAAAAATTTAAACATTCGTTTTAACAGACCCGTATCGTATTAAGCTTAGTTATTTATCGGAATACATAAACATTAGCTAGTAGTTATAATACTCCAAGTTTATGCTAGTTTGTTTGGTATCACGATTCAAACAAAACATACAGAACTTCAAGCGTCTCAAACTTTAATGAATATACATATTTTGATAATTATGTTTGTTAGTTGTAAGTTTTGTAAACACATACCCTTCAGTACTTGGAGGTTTTAATGTTGTAGGATAAATAGAGAATAGTAGGCAAACTTTTTTAAGTCTCCAAAAGTAAATTTCCAATTACGGTCATAATAATCAGGTTTTTTCTAACAAATAAGGTATTTTACCAACAACTGAAGCATTCCGAAAAAGCGCTATTCAAGTCATAACTGTCGTTTAAGGAAAATGATACATTATTCTCCGCTTTATACTCGTAATATCTATTGAATCTACAACGCGTTGGACTAAGTCGAGAATTTGCTACAAATGCCTAACTAGTAAAAACGTATAAATATTTCTTCATCTTTTGGAACACTTCGATTTTTTTATTATTATTTATTTTTTTATTGCTTAGATGGGTGGACGAGCTCACAGCTCACCTGGTGTTAAGTGGTTACCGGAGCCCAGAGACATGTATAACGTAAATGCGCCACCCACCTTGAGATATAAGTTCTAAGGTCTCAAGTATAGTTACAACGGCTGCCCCACCCTTCAAACCGAAACGCGTTACTGTTTCACGGCAGAAATAGGCAGGGTGGTGGTATCAACCCGCGCGGACTCACAAGAGGTCCTACCACCAGTAAATGTCTGTAAATGTATGTAATTTAATGTCTTTGTTTCGGTAACAGCATCCACATTTGTCATATCTTTCAAACAACTATTACAATCAAGGCTCCACATAAAAATATGTATGGATGAATCTAGTATCTCAACTTTGTATAATCTTCGATGGCAGATTAGTGGATAAAAGTGCACGTCGAAAGTGAATGAGGAGTACAAACAGATCAATCATAGCATTTACTACTGGTGGTAGGACCTCTTGTGAGTCCGCGCGGGTAGGTGCCACCACCCTGCCTATTTCTGCCGTGAAGCAGTAATGCGTTTCGGTTTGAAGGGCAGGGCAGCCGTTGTAACTGTACTTGAGACCTTAGAACTTATGTCTCAATATAGTCGGCCCTCCAACCCCAACATCATGACCGAACAAATTTCTTCTGCGTTACCCCACATTACCACAAACGAAGTTGAGGAAGCGACCTTACTGATGGGTAACCTTACTGAAGGGTGGGACAGCCGTTGTAACTATACTTGAGACTTTAGAACTTATATCTCAAGGTGGGTGGCGCATTTACGTTGTAGATATCTATGGGTTCCAGTAACCACTTAACACCAGGTGGGCTGTGAGCTCGTCCAACCCTTTAAGCAATAAAAAAAAATTACGATCAAAATATACGTTCTTAAAATAGAAATATTAATATCTTTGACGTACGATGAGGATCTATTGTCATGTAATTTAAATATATTCAATTCTATGTTTTTGTACATAACGTGAGGAACATACATTTGTAAACATGCTATATGAAAAATTAACGCTACAAATATTCGGTAGTAATGGATTGTTTTCTATTACAAGCGGACAGAATGTTGAAATTGCCGAGTCGTAAAAAGAAATACAATACGATGATACACGATCCGAAACAGATAATGATCAATTATAAACAAATACGCTACGATTTATGTAATATTATAATAGATATCTGATCGTGTTGTGCGATTAAGTTGCATTATAAAAAAACAAGGTTACGTTACGAATTGGAACCAAGTGTAGGGACTTTGTTTGGACAAACAGCTTAGTTGTTTCTATTTAATCATTAGCTAATTTAATTGCTTACATTAAATTTGTCTCGATTAGACTTAATTGTTTTGATCTCTACTTAAGATTTCTGTCGTTTTGGCTAAATAAATAGTCGATTAATAGTTACAGCTGTTTTAATAAAAATAATAACTTCAAAATTAATTGGGTGATTTGTACTTGATAAATCCAGCAAACAAGAAAATAGAACAAAAATAGTTTTATTTCCTTTATATGTATGTACATTTGTAGAGTGGTTAAAAGTTGTGACTTTGTATAATAAAATTGTAACTGCATAGGTATTTTGTGGAGTGATGAGATTGCTTCAAGGCACGGGGTAGTTTAAGTCTGTCTGACAGAGCTTGTGAAGTATTATAATATTATTAATCAATAATTAGCCCGAGGATCTACGTATCGACATTTTTTGTATTTATCAACCACGCAGAGTACTGCGATTGAATTTTGTTTAAAATTCAAGAATATTGAGCTTCTTAGCTATTTAAAGCAGTTCATATATATTTAAGTTTTAGGTATTTACACAAAAACATTGTGGACTTATATCTCAAGCTTTAACGTAAAGGAATTCGAGAAACTAAAATGGATTTTAACGGGCCACATGTAGACTTTGGACACTTAAATTCATGTTTTTAAATAGCCGTATATTTTTAAATACTATAAATTTTTGTAATCAAGCGAATAAAATATTGAGAGAATTAGCTTTGAGCGTACATTTTTATTAGTAGCGAAGCTAGTATACATTGAGACTGTTAGGTGCAGAAATATTTCTGCTGCAGCAAAACATGGACGTGCTCTTCTTTGTAGGGCTATATGTAACTATATAACAGTTATCACGTCGTACTGACGTCTAGAATGAATATAGTACAAAATATTTGCGCATATACGAGCGCCCGACTAAATTGGCCGGTCCGAGCGTACATACATATATATTATAGTTTGGGTTGCAGATAAACATGATATTGTTTTAAGATACTGATTTTAATTTTTTTTTATTACAGTTCATTCTGTTCGCCGTCCTCGTTGTAGCTCTGGCAAGACCTCAACAGATCTACTCTGGTTACGGCTACAACAACTACGGATATACGTATCCAGGCTACGTCGGTTATCCCGGATACAGTCCCCTGGCCTATGGATCATACGGCGGCTATGCTGCCTCTCCATACAACCTCGGCTACGGCTACGGATACTAATTGATATTCTCTTAGGCACCTCTGTTATTAATTCAATAAAAATATTCTAAAAAGAATTATGGTTCTACTGTTTGAAACTATCATTTGAAATGTTGATTAATAATTTTCGTGGATTACTTTCGATTTACAAAACGCCTTTGTTTTTGAGTGTTTTTTTTTTTTCTCATGTCAACTACCATTTTGTGAATGTTTGCAGATAAGATTCAAGAGGTACGAATCATGAATCGGTTTTCTTATTTGTTTTTTTTTTTATTTGAGTTTGAAATAAATTGTACTTTTAAAAATGTTATTTGATTTATGAATTCCTTGGCTGTTGTCCAAAACGTGTGCTTAGAATATTATTATCGAAAATAGGTGAATCAAATTTTAAATTGCGATCACTGTTTTGGATTCATGTCACATTAATAGACTGCTTACTTTATTATATTGTCAAAAAAAAATTAAAAAAAATTATTGTCAAAATTAGATGTTTTGGATTTAGATATTGCCTTTGGAAATTAAAAAAAACTTTGTACCTGTAGCGAACAGTCGAAATTCCATACCCTGTGGTATGGAATTTATTGCCAAAGTAAAGCCTTCGAAAAACAAAAAGTGGAATTTTGTGGCTAAAAACTTAATGTTAATAGTTTGTCTTGAATCTCAAAAAGTTTGACTTAGGAGCCAGTAATAACTCAATACAAGGATTTTAACCAGTCTGAAGATAAAAAAAAATTTCTAAATTCTGCTAACATTAAATTACTGTTTGAAGTCTTGAAATAAATAAGACAACCGTATTAATAACACATAATCGATCTATTATTGGATATTCAATTCATATAATCGACAATTGTAACAAAAAGTGCACAAAAACTTAATTTATACAGTGGCTTGTAAGATTAGGGGACACATGATGGGTGACGCCTAATGCGGATGTTGATTACACGATACACATCGTTCAGTACTTTGAATCCATTCATTACTCTTGAAGATCAAGGACGCTTTTTGTTCTGTACGACAGGACAGTGTACTGGGCGTGGTTGTGCCTGACAAATTAGTATATAAGCAGCAATTGTTTTACAAAGGATATCACTTGAAGGAAAACCTACAAGTTGCGCTTTCAACATGTTCTACAAATTGGTAAGTAACAAAAATATTTAATTAAATTTTTGTAAATTAAACTTCGTTCCCTTTTAACAATTCTGTCTGTTCTGATTTATCATTACTGTGCTATTTTAAAACCTATGACAATTTACAATAACTATTTTCAAGCATACTTACCCACGGAGTGGCGTTTTTCATTCTGTATTTTACATAGAATTTAGTGGTTCTTATTATGGAATAGTCGACATATTCCAATAGTCTACAAAATGTCACCTGCTCCCAGTTCGGGTGTAGCTGGGATAGCCTCTTAGGCTACCAGCGAATAGGTAGGAAAAAAAGGCTGTAGAATTAAAGATATTCAAAACGTTTCAAAAAGTCATAGTTATGTATGTACGTCCTAAATCGTCGCTGTTCGTTAAGCGAGATTTTGTAAAATAGACATTTACTATCCTGCTATTAGGCTCATCGTGTGTGGACGAAAACAAATCTTATACCTTTAAACGAGCAATTCTTGTATATTAATATATATATAATCTGAATCTTGGAAACGGCTCCAACGATTTTCATAAAATTTAGTATACAGGGGATTTCGGGGGCGATTAATCGATCTAGCTACGATTTATTTTCAGAAAATGTTGTTTTATTCGTGTTTTCAATAATCAACTCTTCCCGACATCTATTGGCGAATAATAATACTATTTTTCTTAATTGAGGGCAACTAATCGCTTTAAAGACAAAACAAGATGGCGTTATAAAAAAAAAAAAACGAGCAATGCTCGGTCATCATCAAGTTTAGCATTAAGTGTGCAAAATTTTCGGCTTGTGAAGTGTGACGGAGCAGTTGCAACGTTTTAAATTCTTCTGAAAACAAAAGCGGTCCACATGCTTTACGGTTCGGTTCAATTTGGCTTGCATGTTATGGTTTTGAAAGAGATTAGGCTTATTGAATTTATTTGAAACGTGAATATTTGAAATAACAATAGCATTCAAAGCGTGACGTAAAAAGTTTTTCTGCGTTATTTTGTTGTGAAACTGGTAGTTTTTGTTTATTTCTCTGAATTTTAAAGCGTAAACGATAAGATATCTTGGAATATATCATGCTGTTAGACGAAATCCTTTCACGACATAACCGTCGATGAATAATTTTCCTTTAATAACTTTTGACGTTTACATTTATCCTTGAAGTCGTCGTGGCCTAACGCATAAGAGGCTTTCTATAATCATATCGGTTGATGCTACTACCATATACCGGTGTACACATCCCAGATACATAAGAAGACATTGTGACATAAGAATTGAATTGCATGAAAAAACGACATTCCTACCCTTCTAGTTGAAAAGCATATGTGTTTCTCTGCAAAAATAGCTATCCAATTCGGATCTTTGACGTCCTCTTTCACTAATACTAGAAAAAAGTAAATCAGTAAAATATTCGAAGCAATTGTGAATGAAGGTTGAAAGTAATCGAAACAAAAAAAGCCGTGTTATACCTTAAAAGTGTTATTGATGTTGTCTGCGGCTCGCGAAAATCTTAACAAATACAATCATGTTAAGAAAATTTAATTAATTATCAAGATATCTATTTTAAATTAAAATAGGTAAGATATTTTCAGTTTGGTTTTGGATTAATAAATACAGGCAATTAATGTATACTTCAAAGATGTAAAATTGTTTTCATCAGTCGTAAAACATAATTAAAACTACTTTTACGGTTTTAATCTTAATTTTTTATTGTCATTATAAATAGTTCAAGCGTTTAGGGTACAATAATTCCAGTTCTGTACTGTAGAATATACCATATCACAGATAACCAATGTACATACATAAGCCCACAATTCACTAAGAACAGAGAATCGAACATTATTATAACTAAATATTTTTTTCTAAAATGACGACGATGTATTTTATTTTAATCTCAAAAATCTATATATATATAAATGAATTGCTGTTCGTTAGTCTTGCTAAAACTCGAGAACGGCTGGACCGATTTGCCTAATTTTGGTCTTGAATTATTTATGGAAGTCCAGAGAAGGTTTAAAAGGTAGATAAATATGAAAATGCTCGGAATTAAATAAAAATAACAAATTTTGTTTTTCCTTTGATGTATGTGTCCCCGTCTGACGGATTCCTTTTGTTTGTTTTAAGTTTCTTTTATACAAAAGTTTAGGTCTTTTATTTATCGATTGAGGCACTACGAAGTCTGCCGGGTCAGCTAGTCTTAGATAAATTTTAATCATAAAACTAATGAATTATCTTTATTATTTTCTAGTTCACCCTCTTTGCTCTGTTGGTGGCAGTGGCTTTCGCCAGCCCCAACCCCAAGCCTGAGCCAGTGCTGACCTACGCCGCCGCCCCTGCCTACGGATATTCCCCGTATTCAGCATACGCCCCAGTTGCGTACCCCTCTCCATACGCCGCCTACCCCTACGCTTACTCTTCTTATTACGTCCGTTGAAAACCTTCCCCGGCCTGACAACTGAATCTGAAACTGCTAAATGATTTGAATAAAATTTTACATTGCAAATATCTGATCGTTTTCTTTCTATGAACATTGTGCTGAGTTTGTCAATCAAAAACTAAAATTGAGCATGCCAATTTTAGGCAAACTACCAAAAAATATGAAAAATTGTAAATTAAACCACAGCAGTAATTCCACTATGAATTTACTGGTGGGAGGACCTCTTGTACCACCGCCCCGCCTATTTCTGCCGTGAAGCAGTAATGCGTTTCGGTTTGAAGGGTGGGGCAGCCGTTGTAACTACACTAAGACCTTAGAACTTATATCTCAAGGTGGGTGGCGCATTTACGTTGTAGATGTCTATGGGTTCCAGTAACCACTTAACACCAGGTGGGCTGTGAAGTCGTCTACCCATCCTAGAAATAATAAAAAAATATAATAATAATAATTAATATAATAAAAAAAAGTGTGTGTGTCCGCTCCGACGCACGACTGGAGTTTACTGGATATAAATATAAATTTGTGTCAGTTGAATACAGTAAAATATGGAAGTTACGTATTCTAGTGAGAATGATCCGGGAGTTGCGGAACACGTGGATGCGGTAATTAAGTAAGTCTATATAATTCACTTTTACAATTAATATATAAGTTGTCCATTCACTGATAGAAGGAATTGTTTATATTTAATAAGCTTTATTAATAAATGATTTGTAGCGGGTTATATTCGGGTATCAACCCACTAACAGTTGATACGTTCAGGAATCGAACCCGAACGGCGTCCGGCCACAAGCAAAACGATGTCGGTAAATTAAACGAAACAATACGAGAAATAGTTCTATATTACGACAACACGATACACTACAGATTATTAACAAATTAACGAGACACAAAACAAACGACTAACAAATATATGAAAATACAATAATGAGAGAAACGCGCGATCAGTACGAGGCTTTGTGGCGGACTGCCGGCGCAGCAGCCCGGCGTCACCTGCGATAACGCGGCCGCGCGTTGGCTCCTGATTGGCGCGCGCACGCATCACGCAATCAGGAGCCAATCAGGCGCATAACGCATTTCGTGTGACATGCTATACTCTCTAGTACGATTTTGGTCCCCATAATTTTCATACCCCGGGCCTATATATGTAAATCGATTCTTAAGGAGTAAACTCCAATAAAAAAAACAAATGCCGTAAAAGTATACCAAAGGAGCGTACCTGGTAGAGATGAAATTACATTCGTGTTGAATAAATATGTTATACATATTACATGATAGAACTGACAGAAAGTTTTCGGACCAATGTTGTAACTTCTTGTATTATGCTGTCAACAGTATGAAATTGACTTCATAGTGAGAATGTTGAGTATTCGGTAACGCATTACGATTTATGTTATATCAGTGTTGAATTATATTATATTAATATTCAACGGGAACGATTAAAATTGATGATTAAAAATTATGTTAATATGCCTTTATTTTAAGTAGTAATTTATCCATAATCCGTTTCTAGTAGTCGATCTTATATTACACTAATATCTGGTACCTACTTAATATTTTCATCTTACATTCGATAGCTTTCGGTACAGATTCAATATACAAATATTTATTTTGTACTATATCGGATATATATGTACTATTCACGACATATAAATATTAATTCTGTATTACATAATATATTATTATACTATACGATAATACTCTGTTATGAACATCGAGATTATATTAAATAGAGAAGAC